TCAATTAGGCCATCAATAATTTTCAAGTCCACGTGTCATCTTTTCATGTATTGAGAATCTTGTGTAGTCCACATGTCATCTTTTAATTCGTGAATTTTTTTACTAGGTATTTTATACAAGTAATGTGGTTATTTTAAATACAGTCAAATGGTTATTTTCTAATAAAAATAACTTTCTTCGAATTAGAAGATTGATGCCGACAATTTCCGAATCATCAAATTGAGCGGAAAAATATCTATGGCCACAAACATCTCGGGACACACCACTTACAGATTTGCCGTCATTGTCGGCTCATCTCCGGCTAAACTCCGTCGAGTGTAATTTGAAAATATATTTACAGCGATTATAACAATCTTCTATTCTTACCAAAACAGACTGTATTTCACTCTAATCCTTCACTTCATTTTTGGAAAAAAAATATCAACGACTGACTGTATCCTTCGAAAAGCTGGGTGTAGATTGTAAATCCAATTTGATTTTGCACTCCTTCGAAATTCCATCATTCGATTAAGTGCGGCCAAACCCCTCACCGGCTGACTATATTCTCCTTCAACAGCTTACCGTATCCTTCAAAACGATGATGAATCCAATATGATTTTGCACTCACTCGAAATTCCATCAGTCCATTAATCGCGGACAAATTCCACAATTTTCACACATTTTCAAGTTTGCATGCGCCCCAATTTTGAACTGACGATAGTACCGGATTATTTCCAAATTTACATACCTAAATCGATTAAACAACGAGTAGCATATTGACCCTTTGATACTGCGTTTTAAGGAAATTATTTATTTCTTTTAAATATTTAAGTATTTATAGATACGATTGTAATTGAGAATCACTATTAGTGTAGGACATTATCTTTTTTTATTGATAATTGATTGTTATCATTAACTAATTGATATACTCTTCAATTTTAAACTCATATTTTCTTTTCCGCAACTGAAAAAATAAATTAGTGTGGGACACTATCTTTTTTTATTGATAATTGATCGCCATCATTAACTAATTGATATACTCTTCAATATTAAACTCATCTTATCTTTTTTCGCGACTGGAAAAACAATAAACCCTAACACGACTTTAACGGGTTTTCTCCTTCTATATATGTCATTCGCTTATTTTCCTCGACCCCTCGTCTTTTCCCGTCAAATCATTCTCTAAATCCAGTTCAAAGTCTTTTTTGCAATTCCCTCTTTCGTGTGCATACAATGGCACATGCTAGAAGACTCGATTCGGTCAGAGAATTGAACGATAGTGCCGGATGCGGGTGGCTGATTAATGTCAAGTTGTGCAGGGTGTGGGATCATCCTCATTATAAAATTCGGACAGAGTTGAGAGCCGTGAAATGATTCTCATGAATGACAGTGTAAGTCCTTCCCTTTGTTCAATTACATATTATTTATATTGATATATGTTTACGTTTCACTTATACAATTGATTTATATGTTTTGTGTTTGGATGAATTTAGGGTGATGGAATTGTTGCGGGAGTCCATCGTGACCACTTTCATCGTTTTGCCGACCAGTTCATCGAAGGTAGTTCATTGATGATCTCTAATTTTGAATGTTCAAAGAACAGAGATAAATTCAAGCAGTGCAAACATTGTTTCAAGTTTCAATTCGATGAGCGGACAAAAATTGAAACAACCCCGTTTGGTGACACTAGCAATTTCGGAGGAGACCATGGTTTTTTTTATTTTGTCAGTTTCGCAAACATCAATGCCACAAAAAACTTCTCCAAATTAGTAGGTATGAATACTTTTTATTTTATTTTTATTTATTTATTTATTATTATTTTTTTTGCAAAAAACAACGGACTATAATTAAAATTACATAATTTATTTTTGGGTTGCGTTTATTTAATCAAATGTATGTGGTGTCAATTGAGTTTTTCTCTGTTTTATAATCTTGAAGACATAATTGGTCAAATCAAAACAACAAGTGGTCTACAAATGAGAATGCAGAGAGGCAGAGAAGAACCATGTCTTGAATTGCACATTAGGAATGAAAAGTAAGTTCTTTGTCATTATTACTCTAGTTCGGTGTATTTTAATTTATTTATACCGTATGATTTTATATGAATTGTAATATTGCAGTGATGATTCACTCAAGTGCACCCTTTGGGGTGAACTTGCATTGGAGGTTCAAAATCATATTGAAACAACTGGATCAATAAGAGTTGTTGTCATAATCAGTAATGCAATGATTAATGCATATGATGTTATTCACTAACTTATTAAATGTTTACCTTGAGGGCATTATTGTTTCTTTTTTGTTATCTATGAACAAAAATATTTTACATTTTTTCCAACAGATACCAGAAAACTTCATAATTCCCTCTAGAGTACAAATGTTCATCTGAATGAAGATTTGAGAAAATTTGTCGAATTCAAACAAAGGTACAGTGTCATCTTAATATGTTATTGGATTTCCTCGTTTTACATTGAGTATTAACCCATGTATTTATGTGTCTGTATTATCTACATTCAAGATCAATGATACAGCCGAGTTTGATGATAATACTAAGATTGATGTACTCGAGTCTTGGCCAAAGTCAGGAACAATTGATGATGTCATTACATGGCATAAAACTACTATTGCTGAGTTGCCGAATATCACTATAGTAAGTGCGAATTTTATTATTTAAACATTTAGTACCATTACCATGTATGTTAAAATAATCTGGTATTCGAATATGATTTTATGGTTTTATTATATTAATTTGTTGTAATTTTATTATTGTTTTCAACCAAGATCAAACTATGTGACGATTTCTATTATTGAAGCATTTGATCCAAATTTTGGATGGTATTATATTGGTCGCCACACGTGTCACAAATCCATAAAAGAAGAAGATGTTCTGATGGTTGTGGTCAAAATTGAAGGTGAAACACTTTCGAAGTCAAAATCACAAATTCCATAAAAATAGTGTTACGTTGTGATACCGTTGGCTGCCCTGAACCTATAACTACTATTAGTCCAAGGTACGAACACATCCAAAATATTGAGTTTAGCCTTTGTATTATTTATGTACCATTTCATTTTCGTGCTTGGTCCCCTTATGATTTGGTTATATTCATATTCGGCTTAGGTATAAGATTAAACTTGATGTTGAAGATGGGCACCTGGAACGTGCACTTTTGTGATGCTCGATGATTGTATCGTCTCCTAATGAATAAATCATGTGAACAAATCGGAGAAACTATTCGTCTAGTTTGTATTATTTACATCAACTTTATTTGATTCATGCTTTAAATAATTGTACGTACTAATCGTTGTATAATCGCCCCTTTTGTCTTACATAGGGTACCCCAAACAATCAACTACCAGAGGAACTTTACCAACTTCTGGGGAAGAGGCTGATCTTCAAATTCGAGGCAAGCGAGTATGTAATACAAACAAGGTCGACATTATACAAATGCTAAAGACTATTGAGGATCCCATACTAAATGCCAAATTCGAGAATGTTGTCAGTCCTGTTGAGTTTAGTGCAAACTTTCCAATTATATATAATATGTTCAAATTGCATATTATGAGATTTCAATAGCTAATGTTTTAAATTGTGTTATTACAAAATCAGATTGAAGATGATAACATTACAACTCATTCTGATGTGGAAGTTTCACAGTCTGTTTAGTCGAACATTCCAAAGGTTGATCAATAACATTTTTTAAAGTTACTATTTTAAGATTCAACATATTTTTACTAGAGTGTCTATTTAAAACAATTGATCAATTATGTACTCACTTATGTCAAATAAATACAAAATTGTGTCTGATTCATTTATTTTTACAACAATCCAAAATACAAGTGACTGGCTCAAATTCTATGGCAATGGATGACGAATTGAGCGATGAACCTATCACTCTGGTAGCTTTGTGCAAAAGCGAAAGACTGTTGAAATTGACGTTAACGACCCGGAACATCAGGCATCAATGAACAAGAAGCGAGTGTGATCTGTTGCCAACCATGCTATCATTGCCCTCTATCGGAATACTACTTTTAATCTTATTTTTCCATCCATTATCATTCTCATGAAGACAATTTTATTTCGTATTTTTGTTGCATTTTTGGGAACGGTTTGTTTTCCTGTAATAAAGTCTTTAACCATTGTCTGGTTAAACTGGGTAAATAGTGCAACTTCCTAACGGATAAGTCTTATTTTTACTTCATATTGTCTTTGATTATTACAGATTTTAGCTTCTTTAACTATATTTATTGTGAAAATCTCAAAATTTGTCATACATATGTCTATTTGTAAATATAAAATAATATATCTTAGGCATATTTTACGACTAACATATAATAATTAGAAATATGGAACGTACTGAAAAAATTCAATAGTGAATTTCACAATTTGATTTATTATGTTCTGCTAAATAAAATGAAATGAATAAAATTGCGCATGTTTATTCCGTATTAATCAATTTTTTTTTCGTATGTTTTAGTTAATTATAAATTCCTGATTGTCCAAAATAAATTGTTTCGGTGAACAAACTCAAATGAATATATATACGTCAGAAAATAAACTCTTTTTTCTCATGATAATGTTTATTGAATGAGTTGTTATATTTTTTAATTGATATTATACTCATTCAATAAAGTTAAAGTTACACCTAATTTAGGAAACTATTACACTCATTACTAACCTACCCTACACGCAATATCACATAAAAATTAATTCCTGAAACCCTTCCATAAATCTGAAAAATCTTTCAATATCTCCCATTTATTAAATTTGAAGGCAATAATACGTTTTTTCATCGTTTGTAATTTATTCTTATATTTTATGTATAATATAAATAATGTTATTTTACTTTTTATAACGTTTAATGGAAATGCTTTTTTGTTTTACTTTTATGATTTATATTGAATTATTAGTGCCAATACTTGCGGTGATGATGTGAAAAATAACATTATTTGATGAGAATCATGTAGCCTTCCATGGTGATTCTCCTAGTGAGGGGAATGAACTAGTCCTTCATTATAGTTTTGGAATGCCAAGTTTACTTTGCAGGCCAATCAAGGAAGAAATGATGGATCTTGACTACCTATGTGATAGGGAGTTGGTTCAAGAGAGCTATGATCAAGATGATGAGAATGTCATTAACCTTGGGGTTCAAACCAAAGGAGATGATGACCTCATGGAAATAAGTGCTCAAGAGTATCAAGAGAGTTTGACTCTAGGTGCTCCATGAAAGATCATTGATCAAGCTAGTGAGAAGAGTCATTTAGGTTCTTGAATGTACGGCCTATTTGATCAAATTGTTCAAGATTGAGTCCATTGCTACACAATTGGATAGGTTGCAAACTATCTTAATTGTTTCAAGTGTTTTTCCAATCTTTTGGAGTCAATAAAGAGAATTCTACAAGTTTTGGAGTAAATTGGAATTATCTACAACTTGAGGGGCGTAAGACAAATATTCCACTTTTGGAAGGGCGTTCAAGACATTTTACTTCAATATTTGGGAGCTGAATTTTGAGAATTAGAGTTAGTCTAAGTCTAGGAGTTATTTTCGAAAATTTATCTAGTTAGATAAGCCATGTGGGCTGAATAAAGCTAGAGTGTTTTGATTAGGAGTCTTAGATTCCTTCTAGATATTATCCTATAAGAGGATAAGTCATTTAGATAAGGTTTCCTAGATTTTAGATAGAGTCAAAGAGATCAAATAGTCTTCTACTTCTACTCCTTGTGAGATAAGATTAGAGAGTCCTAATTGATCTTCTTTTAGTGGTGCTGGCGGAATTTCCTAAGCCTATAAATAGGGGGCATGGCCGAAAATCAAAAGCACCCTTGAGTGGTCATTTTTGTTGTCTCTTTTGAGAGTTTTTCCTGTGAGGAATTTTTGTTAAATGGAGTGTCCATTTTTCGTGTCAAGTATGATTTAACCAAGAGGGTTTTCATCTTGTCTTGGATCTTTTGATCTTGCAGAAACCCTTCTTTTTCAAGTATGGTTCTTGATAGAATTGTTTTAAAACAAAACTTCTTATTTTCATACTACTTCTAGTAGTTCGATTGATGAGCCTTTCTTTTGGCCTGGTGTTCGAATTTCATGATGAGTGTGTTCATGAGTTCCATTGTGGGGTTTGTCCTACTTTTGTTGGATGAGTTGTGCGTTGGTATAAGCATTTTGAGATAGTGTATGTGTTGCATATCTTGGTTGGTTATGGAGAGTACTAATCAATAGTATTCCTTCATAGTTGAGCATTATTTGCTCCTACCTTTCTTGAGTCTCTTGAATGATGACTGATCGAGTATATTGAATGGTGTCCTTGCTATTCTTAGCGTGTGTTGTTGTTTAATTCAAATCTTTCATGGATAATATGTTCTTTGCTTGGTTTGAGTTAAGGGATAGAATCACTTAGATAAAGGATCGTCTTACTGTGAATTTTCCGCACTCTTTTGAGTTTCACAGTAAATCTATCTACTCCATTCTCTCTTTGTTTTCTCCTCCAAAAACAAAGCTTTTCTTCTTTCCGCCGATTATCATCTAGCAGCTTCACCTTCAATCATATTATCGATCGGGAGAAATTTGTGTGTTTTGTCAAAAGTCATGTAACATCATGTTTTTTTTTTTTTGGATGTGCGACTACCGTTTTAATTTTTCATGCAAGTAGACTTTTTTGTGGATGACTTCGATAAAAAAATAAAATACAACTTCAAAGCCTTAGGAATTTACACTATATCTAGATGATTTTCTCGCGTTGCATATCTTCAACATTTCTCTTGCCAAAATATTCACTATCTTGAGTAGTTTGCAACGGGATTGACTATATTGTTAATACTTTTGTCTATTAACTGTCTTGAGTAGTTAGCAAAGGAATTGACTATATTGTTAATATTAAAAATGAATATGGTAGATTCAAAAAAATGTACACAATTTGTTACCCCTTCTGTTAACCATCTTTTTTTTCTTATTAAATTAATTTTTATTATTGTTACTTATTTAGTATTTTGAATCTAACAACATTTTATTCAAACAGGATATCAGACCACTTGCGGTTCTTATACACTGTTCTAAAAGACTACCAACTTCTTGGTTCTGTAAGAAATATTACCCCTTGGTTTAATTAATGTATCAGTTTATATATATTTATTTAGTTCTTATGTGCATTTTTTTTGTTTTGCACTTTAGCTTCTCACAAGTAGGTTGTGTGATTGCTTTTGTGGCTACGTCCAAAGAAAAATAAAACTTGATACTCCAGTAGGCATTTTTGAGGTATTAATGGTAGAAACTGGAAAGGATCAAATTGTTTTTGTCTGGGAACAACTTCTTGAAATTTGCTAGGGAAGTTGGAATCGTTCCATGGTGTCGGGTTCATTTTTATTTCAACGGATAGATAAGATCATGTGCACGCCTTTTGCTTTGGATGGGACTCAAAGTGTACCATACAAACCATTCTCTCCCTTTGGATTTCAATGCATTTTCAAATTGAAAGCTCATTCGGCCGAATTGTTCACTGTAAGTGTTTCCAAATTGAAATTATTTATTTGCATAAAAATAAAATTTGTCCTCATTTATTTCATTTGACATCAGTCAATTAGGTGTTCAAGTTATGTATATGTTGCTTTCTGTCTAGGTGGTGCCTTCGGAATTCTTGAATTCAATTACCCTGCCTAATACAGTAGTTGTGTCTATTCAATTTGGAAAAAAAAAGAAGATACATTTTTGAATGGTTTACCTATGTGCATGGTTTTGGTTTTCATGGGAACAATTGGGGTGATTTTATAAGTGTTCATCAGTTCACTTTAAGGCACACTTTCTTGCTTAAGCATGTGTATGAGACGCAGTTCTTGCTCGATGTTTTTGATGAACATGGTTTTGATGTCCATGCTCCTGGTTGTCCATGGACTTTGTCCTCATCTTCGTCATCAAGTAAGTAAATTAATTGAAAAGTGTATTAACTTTGTTAGTTCGGTAATTATTTGAGTTTAAACTCACATAAGTTACGGTTTAAGTTCATAACTGTCTTTTCTTCTGGTGATGAAGACAAGTCTTGATTCTACTCAGATTGGGAGTTTTATCGAATGTAATTTTAGATTATGGATGTTATGTATTTTGTCTCGGATTTAAATACAATTATGTAATTTTATGGATGTTATGTATTTTGATCCCAATATAACTCCTAATTACAGTTAAGTATGTTATATATTTTGTTCCAGATGTTTACCCTTAAATTATGAATTTACCACTATGATTTCACAATCACATTTAACTAATGTTGAATTTTTATTTTATTTTTTTACATTATATACTATGTTTACCTATGCCAGATTATAGCGTAAAAAGTTAATCATCACTGATTGTTGTAAATTTAATCAAATACTATGTTTACCAATAATTACCATTGCGACTCAATAATTAAAAAGAGAGAGAGAGAGAGAGAGAGAGAGAGAGAGAGAGAGAGAGAGAGAGAGAATAATAAGGTTCACAATTTCCGTGTGAATGGAAAATCAATCAAATAAGGATAATTGATCCGATTTCAATTCGGCTCAATCTGTGACGTCCTAAAAAATGCACCAGCCAGCTTAAACCTGAGTAAGGAGTTTTTGAAAATGTCTGTCCAACTCTCGCCGGATCTCACACTATAATTACTAAAAGTAAATAAATAAATTATATTTTAAATAATAAGATAAATCCTAAGTAAACATAATCAAATTTTAAACTAAAAAACACCTTTTACTTTACAGTTTTTTTTTTCTATACCCTACTAACTATTACAATGTGCAACTTCTTGCCGTAGCACTTCTCCGCGAAACCGCTAAGCCTAGTGAGGTCCCCAAGTTTAAGAAAAACATTTTCATGCAACACTCGAGGTATCACATGCACGCAAGCGATATAATAGGAAAATTAAATCATGCGCATGCACAGATAATTTTCAAGCAACAAGTACAACTTCGCAAACTTAAAAGATATAGTTGCAGGGAACATTTGAATGTACTTAAACAAGAAGAACCAAGCTTGTCAAGTTATAATAGAGGAAACTTCATGGTGAAACTTTTGGGAAATGGAAAGACCTTCGGCGCTTGACAGTTGGACCAAGTAAAATAGGTGAGACGTTACACATGATATATAAGAAATGATTAGCAATCACTCTAAACATTGTGAGGAGAAAAACATAAAGTAGTGGAGCATTCTTAAGTATCACTATCTATAGTGTTTCAAGCATTAAGGCCAAAAATCCAGTCTCGGGAGATTTGTGCTTTTATGGTATCGTGAACGATATCATCGAACTGAAATGCTCTAATTACTTAAAATTACTATTGTTTAAGTGTGATTGGGTTCACCAAACACAGGATTGCGTTAAGGTGAGTTTGATTTCACTTTAATCAATTTCAATCACTTATTATATCAGCAAAATAAAAAATACCGATGAGCCGTTCATTCTAGGCTCTGAAGCTCAACAAGCATGGTACATCAAAGATTTAAGTAACCCAGATTGGTTTGTGGCTTGAAGATAAATCCTTGAAATTTGTTCAATGTGGATCTAGAATTTAATATACTGAAGGTTTTCATGATGCTAATTATGTCCACCTAAAAAATCTCTTGATAACAAACAATGGTTAGATTAGATGTACAGAGGATACACAATATCCGCCAAGTCCCAGAACGCAAAGAAAATGACGTCCGAGTGGAGAAATGAATGTTGATGATTTAACTTTCGCAAGTGAAGAGGAAATCAAAGATTATGCTAGTGATGGCTATGAAGAACCTAATGATGATGATGGCGATGATAATGACTTCCTAAAAAAGAAAAAAAAGAACTACATGTTCTAAGGATAATGAGTTTTATACTTCAACTAAATTTCAAATTTGCATCATATATGATATTTCAAGTATATTATACCATTTAAAGTTATGATATGCTTTTTGTTTGCTTTTCTTTATAGTTTTTATGTTTAAAGTGTTTGAAAATTGGATTTTCTTTTGCTATTTTATGTTGTAATTAGTTAATTTTGAAGTATGCATGTACGGGCTCTCTGCCGCTGACTTCCGCTTTCTTCCTAGGAGAAAAAAATTCTCTGCCGCTTTCTTTCTGGGAAAAGAGTTGCTTCGGTTTCTTGAGGGGGGAGGGCAGATATCATTGTGCTCTCGTCAAGGGATAAAACAACTGCTGTACCAAAAATAGAATCAGAAACATCTCCTAAACAAGGAGATAATGCAGCAGAAAAAGCTCATTTGCAACTTGATAAGTATATGGGTCAACGTCTTGGAGCTGGTCTACTCATTCAGGAGCGAGACAGCCACAATGCTTTTATGGCAGGGGCTACAACTATAATGAATGAAGCTAAGAAGGCTATTTCTGAACTTAAGCATGCTCGCGATGTGGTCCGCTTAGAGCGTGAACAGGCTCGCCAGCGTCTTATTGAAGCGGACGACAACCTTAAGGCATCCAATTTGGAGTGTGATAAGATGCGTAGGAAAATTGATGATGCAAATAGGGAACTTGATAATGCCAGAAGCGATGCCAAGGCTGCTGAAAAAAGCAATGTTTGATCGTGAACAGGCAAGGAAGGCTGTTCAAACAGCCCTTTTGGAACGTGACCAGGCCCTCAAGGAACATTATAAGATACGCAAGGATGCTGAGAAGGCCACTCTTGAACGTGATGGGCCGTTGAAGGAAGTTCACAAAGTCTCTTTAGAGCGTGTTGAAGGACTTAAAAAAGTTGTTGGTCTCTAGAAGAATATCGTTTTTTTGCACGAAGTTTTCCAAAAGCCAAACCCTTTTGAGAGTTTCCAGGGTGCTGGGTTGGGGAACCAAGGTAAGGACCATGAGAATGAGGTGGAGAAGGACCTGAGTGGTGATGATGAGGAAGAGGCCAACAAGGACTAGCATGATGGTGATCATAATATTCTTGATAAAAATCAGGTTCTTGCACTGCAAAGGTCATACAGGATTAAATCCAAAGGTTTGAGCAATAATCGTTGAGGAAGTGTTGTTGGGGTACTTTCGGAAGACCTTTTTAATTAATGTAGGCTTGGAAGGGCTGTAGAGAGACATGTCTTTTGCTAAATGTAGATTCAGACGCTATTGTTGTTTATTGTAGTAGTCTTGGACACTCTGTTTAATGTAGTAGTCCCGAACAAGTGGTATTTCCTTAGTGGTGTGGATTTAAAGTTATTCATGGTTCATTTATGTTTTGGTTTCTACCATTTTGCCCTGATGAATAGGTTGCCATTTGGTCAAAGTTGTACGAAACTTGACATGGTTAACACTATTGTTGCTTTAAATAGACTCAGCATCCTTGTATGTTGCATTCAACTCAATGTCGTTGGATGTTATGTCAAAAAAAAGTATGCATGTACAGATTTACAAGGCGTTAGGGGGGGGGGGGTCGATCAACCTCTCATCTGGCCGGATATTCCCTTATAGTAAGGGCATTCGGCGGCTCAACTTTTCCGATTGACCCCTCTATGGTTGGCCATCACTGCGAATATATTTTGTTGGAGCAAGAAGATTATGTCTTCTATTGGGCCTTTTTTTAATAGAAAGATCCATTTGGCATTTTGGTCCAATGTCTAAATTTAAGTAGAGAGACCTTACACTTAAATCTCCCTTTTTTGTTTTGGGTTTTAAAATTTACTAAATATCTAATATACTCCACTAATTACCATTATATAAAACAAAAATTTCCTGCTCATTGTAAAAGACAAAAAAAACACGATTAAACTTCAGAAGCTCTACATAGCTGCACTTACCCTCCGTCGATCAAATTTTGTAGCTTTCTAATCTGGTCTTCTTGTCTGCTTGTGATGGCCAAAAAACCAAAGTAAGGCTTTTGTAATTGTTTTCTTTTTTGTATTTAAATTTATTTATTTCTTTAATCTAGGGTTTAGTAAGATAATTTATTATGCCATTGTGTAGATTATATAAATTGTAATCTCATTTTTCACTATGTGTGTTTGTTTGATACTTTGGTTTAATTCCTTAAAAAGCTAAAAAGTGTTTTTTTTTTTTGCATTTAAAACTTTTCTTGTTTAGGTCATTTTTTAGGAGAATATAAATATGAATTGAGTTCACTAATTTGCAAAGGACTAAAGGGTACATCTTCATAATTATGTTTTGACTTGTATTTTTTTTAATTTCATTTTATCTATCATCTATTGATGCTTTCTTGGATAGAGTTTTTAGTGGGAAGCCTAAACCAAGCATTGAGTTCCGATAATAATAATGGGGTAAAGAAGAAGTTGAGTTATGTGAAGATGATTGGAATGCAAATAGGAGTAACAGTAAAAGAGTTGAGAAAAGGTTGAGTTATGTAAAGTGAAATTATTGTGATCCTGCCTTGCATAAATTGGTGATCCCACTTTGCGTAAACCAATAAATGATTATTCAGTTAATATTCAAGATGAAGTAAGGAGTGGATACTTAGCAAGTGGCCCTTGTCAACGAAGAGAGGACAAATTTTTCTTCAAAGAGATATTAACGGATGTTTGAGAAGATTTCGATAAAAATGGTCTGATCATTTTCATTGGCTACAATAGTGCATCGAAAATGTTTTATTTTGTTTATGGTGTTATTTGTTCCCTTAATTAAAAATGAGAATGGTATTTTTACGAAACATGGTTTCGCAAATTGGAAAAAGACTTTTCAAAAGTTCCACGATCATGAAAGAGGCAATGATAGTAGGCAAAATCATGCCAGAGTTCAATTTCAGTCATTTGAAGATCAAAAGCCTAATTTGGAGAATACGTGGCACAAACAAACTAAAGAACATGAGATTGATTATCGTATTCAGTTGACCGCGGTTGTAGATGTGATTTGGTTCCTTATAAAACAAGGTTTGCCTTTCCATGGAAATGACGAGCCCATAAATTTCTTTGAATCATGGTAATTTTTTTGAGCTTGTTAAATGATATTGTTATTATAATGATGAAGTTAAAAGGGTGATGAAGTTAAATGTTCCAGGAAATTACCGATTGATTTCACCAAAGATTCAAAAGAAAATTGTCAATGCATGTGCTAAAGAGGTAAGAAAGACTATTGTGAATGATATTGGAGTTAAATTCTTTTCTCTTTTGGTTGATGAGGCTCGTGATTGTTCTACAAAGGAACAAATGGCTATGTGTTTGGGATTTATGGTTGAGGATGGAGAAGTGATTAGAAGGTTTCTTGGAGTAGTCCATATTAGTGATACCTGTGTATCATCTTTGAAGAGTGCTATTGAAGATATATTTACAAAACATAGATTAACTATTTCTAGACTACGAAAATAAGGCAAGGATGGGGCATCTTAAATGAGAGGTGAGTTTAATGGACTAAAACAAAAAATTTTGGATGAACACAAGTGCGCATTTTATATTCATTGTTTTGCTCATCAATTATAGTTAGTTGTCGTGGCTACACCATCGGAGTATGCTAGTGTGAAATATTTTATCGATTACCTTGGTATGTGATTGTGAATATTGTTCGAGCTTCATATAAAAAGAAAGATACTATTCGTCAAAATCAATATAATGATTGTGTTAAATGTATAGAGATGGGTGAAACTTTCACTAGACAGGGAAAAAAAATCAATAATTGAGATTAGCTGTCCGGGTGACACTCGTTGGGGATCTCACTTTAAAGCAATACAAAGACTGTTACAGTTGTAGACCCTGGTGAGAAAAGTACTTATTGCTTTGTCTCGAGAGGGTGATGAAAAAATTCGAGGCAATGTTTTGAATTTGTCCGAGAAGATGGAAAGTTTTGAATTTAAAGATAGAAATGAATACAAATATATACTACTAAAAAAATCTCTCTCTCTCTCTCTCTCTCTCGCCGGTTCTCTCATCCTCACCGTAGTAGTGGCCGGAATTTGCGCTTGTTTCACGGTCTCATGACCGGTGAACAAGCCGAGGAGCTCCCCACTGGACCTCCTCGCACATTTGCGAGTTTTTTCCAAAGGCCAATAGACGCTCCTTTGTCTAAAGGCTCCTTAGTCAAGGAAGTCCGATTTGTTAATGGTGTTCCCATTTTGGAGTATGAAGAAGATGAATATGATCAATTGGTAGCCCCACACCAATTGAGCCTAATCGGGAAGTTTTCTTATGGTCGACCGAAAATGGAAGAGGTCCACAAAGAATTCAAGAAGCTAGGGTTCCATGGAGGCTATACTCTTGGCCTTATGAATCCAAGGCATGTCCTCATTCGATTTGAAAGGGAAGAGGATTATCAAGGATGCTGGATTAAAACATTTTGGAACATCGCCGGATTCTCCATGAGAATTTTGAAATGGAGGCCGGGTTTCAAATTTGAGGAAGATCCCCCCATTGTCCTAATCTGGGTCTCCCTCTTTGATCTCCCAATTGAATTCCTCAATTCGGAGGTAATTTTTTCGATGGCAACCGCGATTGGGAAGCCATTGAAGGTGGATGCGCCTACTCTCAACATGACAAGGCCTTCGGTTTTTTGTGTTAAAGTTGACCTTACAAAAGAGTTCCCAAAATCTGTGAAGGTGGGAAAGAAAGGCAAGAAGCATGACCAGATTTTCACCTATGAACACATTCCGCCTTATTGCACTAAGTGTAATAAGATTGGCCACAAGATTGATGATTCCCGGGCTGGCCTCCAAAAGGCTGTTGATAAGAAGAAAAAGGCTCCAGTGAAGATTGTTGATAGAGCCAAAAAGATGGATCCTCCGCATGATAATGACGCAAAAGCGTAGGTGACGTCTGCTTCAAAACCTAGTGCGGAGGAGACAGCCGGGACTAACCCTAGCGTGCAGCCGGCAACAAACCCTAATGCGCAAGGTGGGGTTACGTCGGTTTCAATTGCTGCTACAGGCCGACCTTCTTCGTCTGGACTTTCTGCCAAGGAGAAGAAGACAATTCCGGTTGATGTGCAGGACACCGCATCAGAAGATCAGCCCAAAGAGGCTTCCAGCTTACCGGTTTCTCCCGCGCAAACCAAAGAACCAGGTTGCACACCAAACCCTAGCGTGCAGCCCGTTGCGAAGAAGAACAGATTTTCTGTTTTGTCTTCGATTCAGGAGATAGATGATGAAATCGGATCTGAGGACTTCATCGAATCATTTTTTGTGGAAGACTTCCCAAATAAGAAAGTAGAGGAAATATGTCGGGTTGATGATCATGTTGAATCACGCGTTCTAGCGTTGATGTCCTTAACGAAGATTCCTCATATTTTTTCTGATGATGCTGACATCGGATTGCATGGAGCTGGTTTGGAGAATGATACAGGAAGCTGGTCTGAGAGTGAGAAGGACGAGGTCCTGGTGCATGGGGACGTCTGGGGAGATTTCACGCTTACAAAGAAACGTGGCCGCAAATCCAAGGAGGAGTGTGCAAGATCACAGGAGGGTTTGGTGCTGCGGCGATCAGCCCGCTTAAACTGATTTCTCCCTGATTTATTTTCCAATGTTAAATCAAATAATATGGAATATCCGAGGCATAAAAAGCCAGGCGTCCCAAAGGCGTTTGAGTATTTTGCTTCGGGTCTATAATGTTCGGATTCTGGTTATTTTGGAGCCTATGCTTCAGGTTGATAAGTTAGATGA